AAAGTACCTGAAAACCAATGTCTTGAGCGAGTAGAAACATTTTAAGCAGCAAGGCAACCTGAGGGAGGGTAGGGGCCAGAGGAGGTCTGCGTAGGAGACCAAAACCAGCTGGGTGCTTCCTTGGGTTAAGGAGAGTGAATGAACCAGGATGGCAACTGTCTGCTCCCGGAGGGAAGAAGGGAGACTGAAACGTTTGGCTCGCCGCGCCCCTCATCCCCGATTTTGGTCCCGCTGGGCTAGGTCGGAAAGACCCACGTCGAGCGCAGCGTCTCCAACCCAGCAGGAACGCAGGGATGCTCAACCCACCTCGTCAATCTTGGGCATCGCCTTATGCCAACCCCCCATCCGGAAGCGCAGCAGGTTGTAGAACTCCTCCGGGTGTCCCAAGCACTTCACGAACTCCATACTGAAAGCAGGATGCGAAGCCTCAGTGACTGACTCCCTTAATCCCTCCAGCTGGCACTTGCCTGTGGAGGTGAGGTGGACCAGTCGGGAATAGAGGCGGGCCCAGAGCGGCGACGCCACGCCCACTTCCCGCCCATCTTAACGGGCCCCGGGCTCTCGAGACACTTCCGGTGGCTTGTAGGATGGACTGACACGCGCTGACTGGCCAGAGCTGTTCGTACCAGAGAGACGCTGGCCAATCGGAGGTAGGATAGTCTGGCGTGATGACCACACCCTAGAAGCTAATTGAAGAGCGAGAAAGAGGCAGGCAAGCGGGATTGGTGCTCCTACTGGGGGCGGGCTCATGTTTCTTCCCCACGCCCTTCGTGGGGCTAGGGACACTGATTGGCCAGGGCGACTCGCGCCGGGAAGACGCTGGCCAACCGCCGGTGGGATGACTATGGCAAGATACGCCTTAGAAGCCAAATGAAGGGTGGAAAGGGGAAGGCGAGCTGGACTGGTGTGATTCAGCTGGGGCCGGGCCTTTGTTTTCCTCCGGTTGCCCTTGGAGGGGCTGTGGGCGCAGACCCAGCCCTCCCGGAGCTCCAGCGTGGTGAAGTCCAACTCTGGCCTGGGCGTTGGGTGAGAACCCAGACGATACTAGGAGACCGGGCCAGAGTCCGCACGATTTCGTCCACAAGCCCTCCACGTGTTTAGTTTTATTTATCTTGCAAGCCAAATTAGCTTTTCCTTGACCTGCTGCGCTCGCGGTCGCGCCCCCGCCTACCTGCCGAACGTTTAAAAGGCATGTGGACGCCACCACTAAGTTGATGGGTCTTTATTGCCAACAGCACACAGAGGGAAAGCTTGGCCAACTCACGTGGGACACATACGCCTGACAGTACCGTTCACCTGCCTCTTATGCCACTTGCAGCCCCATAGAATACCTGGTATCCGGCCCAGCAATAAAACTCCCGTTTGTGAGGCTTTGCTGCTCTCAGGGTGATAATCAAACGCTCTTCTGGAGTTTCAGCTACCCTCTTCAAGGTGTTTGTTTTAGGACCACATAATCCCAAAAAAGGATTTCAAGCAGTCCCACAATATACACAGGTGATGTGGAAATTGTATTTCCACCCTAGACCTTTCATAAGCCCTGGAAACTACTTGCTACCGCAGCCCTCCACCCTCCGATTTTTTGAACACAGCAACCAGGATCCTTTTAAAACTTGTCGGATCAGATCACTGCCTAAATAAAACCCTACAACTCCTCTCCACTTCACTCAGTAAAGCCAAAGCCCCTGCAAGGATCTGCGAAGCTCTGCGTGATTAGCCCTGCATCCCCATTACCTCTCTTCACACCCAACTTTTACTTCTCTGGCCACAGGGCCTTTTTGTCTAGCTGTTGACTCCACTCGCCCTTCGATAATTCACTCCCAGATATCCAACTGGCTAACTCCTTCACCTCCTTCAAGTCTTTACTGAAACTTCACCTTATGTAGGCTCACCGGCCCCATCCTATAACTAGCACTGCTGATCCTCCATCCTACTCTAATTTTTTCTCATACTATTTATCACATTCTAATATGATACATAATTTATTTATGATATCTATTGGCTGTTTTCCCTTGCTAGAATGTAAGCTCAATCACGACAGGTCTTCATTCTGTTCATTAACTCACCCCCAAGCATTTAGATTCATGCCTGGCACATACTAGATGCACAATGAATACTTATTGAATCGAGCTGCATCTAGGATACCTCCTCTTTAATGACCCCCAAACTGAGCAAACTTGACATGTCCATACCTGAAGTCTCTCTCCCACTGAATCTGCTTCTCCTATGAATAGCGCTAACAGCCTCCCAGTTGCCAATTATAAAATCCAGACACTATCCCTAACTCCTTTCTCTCCCTACACCCCTTAGAAATCATTCATCAAATCCTGTGGAGTCCAAGAAACAAACATCTGTCTTAATCTCTCCTCTTCGCTCCATCTTGGTGTAAGCCCCATCTCCTCTCCCAAACTATTTTGAGAACAACTTCCCATCTCCCTAAAACATATGCTTGACTATGTTACTCTCTTGCTGACAATCCCTCAACTTTAAATTTCTCAAAGGAAATGCCTTCCAAAATCAAATCAAGAATTCTGGCATAGAATAAAAATTCCCTAATCATTTGGCACTTATATGCCCTTTTTTGAATTTTAGCCTCCTATTCAGTCACTTCACATACTTCAAACCCAGCTCCAGTCCTGGCAGCATTTCCATTTCTTAAAGAGGCCACAGAATTTTACAACCCAGGTCTTGACCCAAGTAATTCACCTCCCTGGATTGCTCTTTCCTCACTGGCTTCTCACCTAGCCACTGCCATGCCTTCAATCCAGCTCAGGGGGAATACCCTGCTTCAGGAATCCTCTTCTGAAGCTCACTGGCCTCTCCTTTATTTGCTCTTCAGATTGAACCAACACTGACAATGTGGCAAGTGCTGGATAAAGATGAATACGATGATACTCTACCCCAGAGAACTTGCAGGCCAGAGGAAGACAATTACATAGTTGGAGCTTAACGCAGCTCGCACAGTCTGACCTACTGTGTGTCCAGCTGAAGACTGCATATACAAATGGACAAAGATCAGACCATGTATAGTAACAGCACACTAATCCACAACCTCTGCGGCAACCGGCCTGGAATGGTCGGGACTTGATCAAGTACTTCTCTATTTTTGCCCCCTCTTCCAACACAGGACTGACCACAGAAAACCAAACATGCTCCCCAAACCAATCACTCAAGACACCCCACTACTAGCCTGCTTCCAGTTTCCCCATGCCAACCTCCTCCAACCCAAGCACACCTGATGGCTTGCCTTTTTTTCCCCACTGTAAAGCTTTCCCACTTCCCAGCCTGCCACTGAGTCTCTGCCAAATGCTAGGAATGGTGGCTGATGCCCTTGCTACATAGTAATCTCCGATTAAAGAGCGTCATTTGTTTGTTCTCATTAGGTGGTCTTTATTTCCACAAACCTCAGCCCTTCAATTCTGTCCAGTAGTGACTTTCATCCTCAACTTTCTGTATTCTGATTATCTCGTCTGACTCTCCACCGCACCATGAACCCCTCAAGGTCTAAGACCATGTATAAACATAACACCTTGCACAGTGCCTGCCGCTAACATGTGTCTGCTGCTTTGTGTTGAATAGCAATGCCTGGAATTGGGACTGTGCTGGATCTTTCCTGCATCTCCCCCACCTTCACATAGCACTTCTTTCATAACCTATGGAAACACATGTTAACACTCTGTAACAAGCTGGCCTCCTATTAGTGCAGGGGTTTTCTTGTCTTCTTTGTCCTGTATTCCCAAACCTGGCATTTAGGAGGCATTTAAGAAATATTTATTGAATAGCTAAGGCCACTGAAACCTAACATTAAATTCCAAGTTTTCCACAATGTCAATAATGTGGAAACTCAAGCTCATGTTGTACTTAACATATCCCTTGGAACGTGTTGAGTACAAATTTTGCCCCTCTCCTCACTTGGAGGGGAAACCTGGCCTCACCCACTCTCTACCCCTCATCTACGGTTCTGTCGAGCAAAAGCCTCTCCTTCTACCCACCAGAGGCATGGACAAGAGGAGTGGTTCCCAATGTCCAATTCCCCACCCCTGCTGTTTCTATGCCACCATTACCTTTCTTCTTCCCTCCCCTTCCTCCTTTCAGAACAAAATTAAAACTTCTGCTGAGAGCCTCCGGCCATGCTGAATGTATCTTAAGGAGAGGCATTGTAGATGTGGTTTCTGCTAGGTGTCCACATTTCCGCTTCCCCACTTCTTTCATGCGGAACCCAGTCTGTGATGGTGCCAACAACAACCCGTACACCTCAACTGCTGGCTGCTTTGTGGGATGCACCCTTAATGACGTCAGCCAGGACTTGACCAACGGCCGTGATGCAGCTGTCCAAGCCCAACAGAGAAGGGGCTATGATGTGTGTTTGAGTATGTGCCCCTGGCCCTGGTTAATTTACCGTGTGAATGCAAGCAAGTTCTTCAGCCTGTGCACACTTCAGTTTCCTCATCTATAAAACAAAGACAGTAAGAGTGACTACCTATCTTCGCGTGTGTGTGTTGTCTGGGTTTTTTTTTTTTTTTTGGCAGATTACAAGGCAAGAACTAAGCTACTTGGTTTACATGATAAGCAGTCAGTGTACACAAACTATTGTACAGGTTATAGGTCTGCCATAAAGGGGCTTAACCCACTGTTGACAACTCTCAATTCCTTAAGAAGGTGAGAGAAATGGAAAGTCAGAAATATTAGCCCCTGTTTTTAATCTCACTTACACAAATCACTGGCGCCTACATGCCAGAGGCCAGGGCAACAGAAGTGAAATCCATCTCTGTTTCACCAGATCTGCTGCCAATGCAGTGCCCTCGGGGGCAAAGGAGGGAGCCAGGTGCGCTCTCATCCCCGTTCCCTGCACTGCTCACGTTGAGTGGCTCCAACAGGCCACCTCCACAAGTCCTAAGCAACCACCTTTACAAAGAACTTGGTTACTTACACTGTAGGAACTGTTCCTGCCAAATAAAGATAACCAGAGAAAATCACAAAGAACTTTATTTTCATGCCCTAGTTTCTCCTCCAGCTCTTGCTAGCCACTTTACACGGTGTCTCCATGACCCTTGATTCCGGCACTGTTCCACATAGCAATGGTCACAAACAAAACCCTCGAGGAGGAAATGAGGAGCTGTTTCTAAAGCCCATGGGGCACACAAGAAAGGTGGCCAGTTCCCTGGTCTCCCTCCTCCCCTGACCCCTTCCCCGGGTGTCCCCCTCCCACGGAAAAGGACCCAGTCTGGAGGCTGCATCCGAACATGACCCTCATGCTCCTCCATCCTCGGCCCTGGGCTGCCTCCAGGGGAACGAAAAAAGACAATTCCGTGTTTCCCTTTCTCAAATGGAGGGCCTTAAAACAACCAACCTTTGAAAAACCAAAACAAACCAAACCACAATGTTGGGGTGCAACAATTTTCCATAGACTTATATTTTCATCACCCCATTGTCATTCTGGGAGGCTTTCCCCTTAACTGTCACGAAACCTTTCTCATCTTCCACAGCGGCAGACTCAGACAGGGAGAGTTAACCAACACTTGCCCCGGGTGGCAGGGCTCAGGTGGTTGGAACACCCGCTCTGGCTGGGGTGACTACGGGAGGCAGCCACTTGCTGCCTCTACCTCCCCTCCTCTCTTGGTCAAAGCAATGGAAAATGTCCCTGGGTGAGGATAAAAACAGTTTTTAAATTAAAAAAAAATTAGCCAACACTTGAAAAAAAATCTAACCCTGTGAAAACTCTGTCTTCGACATAACTTCAGTGAGATGAACATCAAGAGGACTGACATCCTCCTGACCCCTCCTCCCCTCTAGTTCTGCCTCCACTCCCAATCCCTGCTCGCACTCCCTTCTCGACACTTGAACTCCGTGCTCCCCAAAGGGCAGGGTCCTGTGAGGAAGAGGCCCGAGTGCCTTAGGAAAGCTGAACTCGCTCCACCTCATCAGGGGACAGCCTGGGCTGGCACTGTGGGCACCACCAGGTGAGTCTCCGGAAGCCGCCTGGAGGCCCGAAGGCCTCCTTCATGACCTGGTGCCCGGCAGGGCACTGATCTTTCTGGTAGATCTGCGTGTGCTGCTGTCTGCCCTGGAACTTGCCATGAAGCCAATCTGCACTGAACTCCACCACATGATCCACAAGGATCTCAAGTTGCTGAGGACTGAGGAGTGAGCCGAGAGAAAGGGGATGGATCCCAGCTCTGTACAAGGCTTCATTCTTAATGATGTTCCCTGAAAGAAAGCGGGGAGAGGACGAGGGGAGAATAAAAAACACGCCTATAACAAAACCAGTGCATGCAGTTAATAAAGCGAACCGAAGCTGATGGCAGCAGGGGAGAGAGCCTCAGGAGAACCCGGGGCCAGTTCTGCCATGTGCAGGGGGATCTTGGGGGAGTCTCATAATCCCTGAGTCAATTTCCTCATCTATAAAATGGGTTTGGCAATATTTACTTTTAAGGTTGCTATGCAAATGGAAGGAGATAAAACTCATGCACACCCATGTAATAGCAAAGTGGTTACCAAAACAGGCTCTGCAACCTAATTATCTGGATTTAAATCCCAGTTCATCCAGATCCTAGCTATCTAACCCTGGCAAGTTCCTCACCTTCTTTAGGCTTCAGTTTCCTTGTTTGTAAAATGGGGGTGTTGCCTGGTTTTTGTGAGCAGTGGGAATTCATACCCATGCACATGCTGTGCACAGTGACTAGTACACAGAGTTCTCAGTAAATACTACCTGTTATTATTGTTTAAAATGTCAAGCATAATGCCTAAGATACAAAAAGTATTAGGAGGTATTATTTTATTATTTTTCTATTATTGCCTCATTCCCTGTGAAGCCAGCCTTGATCCCTTCCAGAATCAATAATTCTCTTCATAATGTTCCAACAATGCACTTTCTTTAATCTCTACTAGGCATTTATTTCAACCTATCTCAAGTTATGGTGAACTGAGCCCAAGTTGCTGGGCCGTTAAACAATAATCTCCTTAAGCAGATTCACGGATGAATGAAAGGACTGCCCTTTCCAGGAGCTTCATAATCACACCCCTGGCTACCCACAGAATTTCTCTCTAAAATTCACTGGCAGACTACCTGGATTCCTATCTCAGCTGTACCACTTACTAGCAATACATCCTTTGCTTTAATTTCTTCATCTGAATGAAGAGAAAACTAGTAAATAACTATCCTACAGAATAGTAATAAGGATGAAACCATGTGCTTGGCACATTAGAGTCACTTGAAAAATACTGGCTGTTATTACTATTGTCCATGATAACGATTTCTTAGTGGGGCATCAGCTCTTGCTACATATACCATAAAGGTCCTTTGCTCCTCAAGGTGCAGGGACCCCCATGGTCCGAACATAAGAATGCAAGGCCACCGTCTGGTGAGCTACTGGGTCTGGTCCCCGCTTCCTGAGGTGAGCTGTGCCTGCAATGGACAAAACGATGCCTTGGCTACGGAGGGGACTCTGTTGTCACCAGCTCACCCTACTGCCTCAGCAGCCAATCAGAGGTGCACATGTTGTCCCACTCTGGGAAATAAAGATGGTTATGTTCTTATAGTCCAGCTAATTAGCCACCCTAGTTTTCAAATTACTCAACTCTTCTTTCCACCTCAAAACGCTCATAGTTTCACTGCTGAGGAAACCTGAACAGAGTGAGAACCTGCTTCTTCACTCACGTCTCACAAGATCCTGACACAGACCTGAGACGTCTCTGCTTTGACTAACAGGCAGCTCCATCTGCCCTGAGCAACCCCATTAACAAATGCTCTGCTCCCCGTTAGCAAACTGCATGCCTTTGGGTTCCTGACAGTCACCTTTCAAGCACCTGCTGTGTCCCAGGCACAGTGCTAGGCAGTGGAGGGTTCAAGGATAGATGAGACATGACCCTGCCCATCAGGAGGTCACACACTACTGTGGCTGTTGTGCAGACTACAACTGATAACAGGATTAGGATATGAACTCTGCAGCCAGGAAAGAAGTTAGAAACTGTCTAATCTAACTGCCTCAGTTTAAAACTGAGGGAAGCAAAGCCAGAGAGAGTAAGGGATCAATCACCTCAACACCAGTAGTGCTCACACTTGGGGTGGATCTTAGTTTTGTGCTTCCCAGATGAGAAACTTTTCTATTAAAAAACTGCGGGGCTCACCCCTTTCCCATCCGTCATACCTAAGCCTGAGAAGTATCTCTGGTCCAACAGCGTGTAGCAGACAGGCTGAGCTCGGCCCAGAGCTTCCAAGGCTTGTCCTCGGTGGAACTTTGCAGACAAGATGTCAGAGGTGGGTCTGATCGCTGGGGAAGAGCTCCAAGACATCTGGCAATTATAAAATGCCAGGAAGCCGCCACCACCAAAGTGCAAGACCAACCTGGGAAGAAAGAAAAGATCATAAGCACCTAGAGTGCCCACAGTAGTATCAGGTCACACATCCATGCAGCTCACACCCCACTGTCAGGATTGACCTGGGGGAGCTAAGGTCCCAGAAGAGGGAAGGAATGGCTCTGCCAGAATCATAAAAATTTCAGGACTGAATGAAATAATTAAAAGAAAACACATATAGCGTGCTTCATTTTTCTGATCCTAACAATACATGCTCACTGAAGACAACTTGGGATGTACAGGAAATCTTTAGATTTGTACGGGAGCTGAGGCCACCTGCACAAAAACGGGCTTGTTAGAAAGGAGGACGGACAGATGCTGAAGAGGCACCACTCCCAGTTTCAGGCAGGATTTACCGAGAAAGACACACCTAAACACACTCCCACGGGCTTCCTGAACCCCGAGAACAAAGGAGAAACCTTATAAATAGGTTCTTGATACAGAATTGGGGCCGTGACCAGCATGGGTGAGTGGGCAGCACATTGTCCTGCAAAGAGAAAGGTGGTTGGTTTGATTCCTGGTCAGGGCACATGCCAGGGTTGTGGGCCAGGTCCCTAGTTTGGGGGAGTATGAGAGGCAACCAATGTTTCTCCCCTTCTCTTTCTCCCCCCCTTTCCCTCTCTAAAAATAAATTTAAAAAATCTTTAGGGAGGAAGGAAGGAGGAAGGAGGGAGGGAGGGAGGGAAGAAAGGAAGGAAGGGTGGGTTACTCTGTAAGGGAAGACATGCAGGCTGCAATGGGACTCCACATTGGAAGAAAAGTGCGATTCATGCATCTGACCTAGATGATGTTCCATGTGGAAGTAAAAGGGTGACCCTAAAAGAACAGGAACCCAAAAAACATCTATGTAGGGTATCTGATGTTATTAATTAAATCAGCAAAAATTCCAAGATAGAGGGAAATGGAAAGGATAGGACATAGTAAGCAGCACTAGATTTGTAATATTTATTGTGAAATCTAAAATGGGTTATGACAGTGCAACTGAGAACAAGTGCTAGGAAAGAATTTCTGAAACCAAAAATATTTATTTTAGTATGTTTTTTATACTAATTAGTTCAGGGGGGTCTTTTGTTAATGAAATCATTTACTTTGCGTTTCACACAGAACAGGCTGAAGCATGCATCATGACTTCACGAGTCACCCAGGGGTTCACGAACAGAGTGGCTATCTCAGCAGCATGGTCCTGGGGACTAGGGGTCCATGCAAGTAGGCGGGAGTTGGCACAGCGGGAGTGTATTTCAATCCCTTCTTACAGAAAAAAAAGGCAGTAGAGCATCCTGTGTCCCTGAAGTCCGTGCAGCCGGGGCTGTGAGCAAACCCTGTACTGGGAGCCCTCAGGGACGGGGTGGGCAGGATGGGGACCTTGATACATAAAGGGATCTTTTCACGTGGCAGCGGGTGAGGAGGGAGGCTTACTATTTTTAATGCGCTCAGACCTAGAACCTGGTATTCAAAAGAGACTATGTCCAAACTAAAATCACTTCCCTGCTCAGAAAAAGGTGCTAGTAGCCCTAGGACCAGACCACGAAGATACTGAGCTGGTCATTCCCAAGTCCTTATTCTACGGGACAAGTCAGAGGGTAATGGCTAAAAATCTTAGTTTGTGTTAAGCTCTGATAGAGCCAAATGACTGGAAAAGACCATATCTCAGACAGTGGTTTATATAAACTGCTGAAAGAGGTTTCTAGCAGAGACAAAAAGGGGAAGGTCCAGAGCATCCTCAGCGAGCAGCTCAGCACATACAGAAAATCTCAAAGGAGTATTAAAGTAGCAGGGAACAGAACAGTCCCAGATCTTAATTTTTATGGGATAATTTGATAAAAATCAAACACTGGATACCAGTAACAACAAATGTCATGGCCTTTACGGTCACCTGGCAGCAGAAAAAAATTCCCAAAGCATGTCCAGCTGACCAAGGGATCTTTCCAGGAAGTGTCTGAGCACAAGGGAGAGGGTAGCAGGGCTTGGTGCAGCTGACATCCAATGTGGTTACTATGGAAACAGGAGGGGCAGAGTCCTGGTTTGCTGGCCTAAGGAGGGCTTCGCAGAATAGAACCAAAACTCCGAAGCAACTGCAGATTCTCTGCAACCAGTTGTGACCCAGAGAAAGAGGAGCCAGATTCTTGCTCTAGGGAGGGTGAGGGCCCATATCCAACCCACACCATAGGCATTAGTCCCAGTCATCCTGCAGCTGATGGGCAACCCACACCAGGCAGTGGAAAGGAGCTGGTCAGGGAAAAGGGGTCACTCTTCATCTTTTAAAGTCTTAATTTGTATTTTAACCTCAAACTTATTATAAAAGCCCCCTGAAACGAAACACAAGTATACTTTTTTTAAAGCTCCCTCACTTCTGGTAGGTTGTTTCCTCCAGTTTCCAGTTTCACCCTCAGAGTCCACAAACTTCATCAGACCACTCGTGTTCGGGACTTGGGCCTCTCTAGGGGGAAGCCGAGGGCTCCACTCCAGACGAGCCGTGCCGGTACACCCAATGCTTGTGACGCCCCAACCGGGACTACGTTGTAGTTCACCTTCATCGTGCCACAGTGCTGGAGCAGCACCCCACTGTGAGGATCTGCACGGGGCCAAGGACTCTTGGCCTGGCCCTGCTCTAAGAAAACACTGGACACAATCTTGTACAGCTGAGCAACCAGCTTAAACATGGCGTCATGAGGCAGGTGTTTCAGCACAAGCTCTCACTGACACATACACCGAGGATCAGTCTTCCTCAATACTGCATGGGACACAGCCTGGAACATTCTGCCCTGAGTATTTCCAGACGTAGTCTCGTAACTTCTCATCTGATACAGCTTTGCCAACTTTCTTCTCTAGCTGCATCAGCCAAACAAGCACTTCCTGATCTGCCAGTCCAGGCAGGAGCTCTGCCAGGGCGACCGTGGCTGCTGCGAAGGACAGGTGAGGGTCTGGAAAGGCACTGCCCACCAAGTGGCTGGTACAGGTACTTCATGGCCACCTTTGTGGTCACTGTCGAGGGTGAGGCACAAGTGCATGGGATCAGTAAACTGAGCATCAATGCAGCCTAACACGTTGGTGAAACTGAGGGACAAGTTCAGCGGAGAGTCAGTGGCCCTGATCCTGCTGCTCTCCAGTACAGATCCCGGCAGATCTTAGCAGCAACACAAGGCAGCTTTGCAACCAGATCCACAATCTTCATAAATCAACTCCCAGTGCCCGGTCTGTTGATGTGCTCTGCTACGGCCAAGTTTCTTTCACTGTTGAGAGCTGTAATGGCTGCACTGAGCTAAGACATGGGTGTAGATTGGTGGCAAAGTTGCCCAGCATGGTGAGCACATGATAGGCAGAGCTGTCCTCTTCACCCACTCTTTTGAGAGCCAAGGTACCTGTTCCTCTGTTGGGATTGGCCCAGTTACCCGCAGCCAAAATAAGCCCTCCACTAGGGGCTCTATCCCTCCCTTCGCCTTGGGGAGCAGTTCCTGGCATTCAGGGATACTGTAGCCTTGGAAACAGATACCCTCACCGGGATCAAGAAATGATGTTTCGTACACCTATCCCTTTGTGCCTCTCATGGCAACATACACCATGTCCACAGTGATTCAGCCCACAATTGTGTTGTCGCGTTGCTGCCTGACAGTCTTAACTCCATCCTGCTCCTCAGGCATCAGGAAAGCCAATACGTCTTTCAAATTTGTGGAGAAAGCGCTGGCAGGCAAGAAGAAGACAGGATGCATTCTTGGCTCCAATGAAAGCCATGACAGGAGAACTCGGGGATCTGGTAGGGGGAGAGCTGAGGGAGGGGAGAAAGCTGAGGGAGGGGAGGAAGCTGAGGGAGAGGAGAGAGCTGCGGCAGGAAGGGGAGCTGGCTGCTGCGCCAGACACCCCGCCTACGCCTGTGGGTGCACGGGGTTCTTAAGCACTTTAGTTACACACAATTAACTATGTAATATAGTTAGCAATCTGGAGCTAAAATTCTAAACCATCTTAGCAAATGCAGGAGATGTAACAGAATAGAAGTAGTGAAGTAGAAATACTTCATCACAACTCAGAGGGGTGAAGGAATGTGACCAAAAAACCAGTTTCAATAACAAGGGAGAAAAGTTATTAATGTTATTAAAAATCTGATGGTTGTCAGATGTAATTGAAAAATAATTTTAAAAAATTGTTATTTATTTTCAGAGACAGGGGAAGGAAGGGAGAAAGAGAGGGAAAGAAACATTGATGTGAGAGGTACATCAGTCGGTTGCCTCTTGCACACCCCCAACTGAGGACCTGACCCGAAACCCAGGCATGTGCCCTGACTAAAAATCAAACCAGCAACTCATTGGTTTGCAGGCCAGTGCTCAATCCACTGAGCCACACCAGCCAGGGTTGAAAAATAAATTTTTAAAAAAATTTTAACTTGACGGTTATTAACTCAGAAAACAATAAGTATAATTTAAGATAAAATTATTACCAACAGAATGAAGATAAATAGTAATACTTCTAAATTAATGGGGTTGGGGGAGGAAGCTGATAAGAAATGATAAATCCCCCCAAAAAAGAAAAGAAAACAAAGTACAACAAAATAGCAAATGAAAGAAAATCCATATATGTCAGTTACCCCCATTTTAAAATAAAGAGTTTCAGGTTGAGGTTAAAGATATACAAAAGTTTGGTTCATAGTTTATATAAAACCCACCTAAAATAAGTGAAAAAAAAAAACAAAACCAAACAAAAAAAAAACCCTACAACCAAGTGAGGAAAGAGCAAGGGGTGGGCCAGCGGAACTGAGTGGCACCATTAGCATCAAAAAGAGCATAATTCAGGACCAAAGGCAAAGAAAGAGTATGTTATTTAATAAAGAAGCTATAAGGAACCTATGAGAGTCAGGGATCCCTAGGCTGAAAAACTCATAAACAAAAATGCCCAAAAAGACAAGGAGAAACTTTACCAAACCACAACTACCCTGGGAGACTTCGGCATGCCTCTTCTCAAGTTTGAAGTATTAAGTAAACAAAAAATAAACAAGGACAGAGAATATTTGAGTTAGTGATGTCATAACCTGTTCTTAACATTTCCAGAACGTTCCACTTTGAACACATTATGCACTTATGTACGTAAAGTATAAGCACAGATCAATTATGTGTTCGGCTGCAACTCTTAATGCCGAAAGCGGACTATGTGCAAGCTTTGATCACAATACCGATCTCAGGCCAGTAAAAAATTAAAGCCAGACAAAACAGTAACTCCAAACACTCAACCATTTGGACAAGTAGGAAATCCTCTTACCTACAGACTATTTAAAATGAATGTTATTTATTTTAAAGGCTAACAATGTAGATAAAACTGGCAAGCCTAATTAAGGAAAAAAGGGGTGGGGAGACGAAGTAATAGGTAATACGTGAAAAAAGAGAAGGGATACAAAACTTGACAAGATTTGAAAAGGAAGAGAGCGGTGATGTGTTAGCTCATCTGAAAACCTGCGGGAAGCCCTGCCGCAGAAGAGCATGAACTCCCAGCTGGAGACGTGCAGGCATCCACCCAGGAGCCGCCCCTGCAGTGAGAGGTGGGCTGGGGGTTTCTGAGAAAGCTCTCCTTGCTAACTGAACATTTCAAAATGATCCTCTCTCTTCTTCTTTCCTCTTTCTTTGTGTGCACACAGGCCTGGAACAGCTGTTCTAAAGACAAAACCAACGTGTGGAAAAGCGTGGAGACAGGAGAGTCACAGGAACCTGAAGCCAAAAACTGGAAAGTAAGTCGATGCCAAATGCCACCCTCCCTCTGAACTTCCGATTATGTGAACAACAAGAAAAATCTCCTCCCAACTTAAGCCAGCCTGAGTTACTTTTACAGTCCAAAGCATCCTCCTGGTTCATAAATCATAGCATAAATAAAGACTACAGATCTGAGTGTAATAAAATATAATATGAGACTTTAGAAAATAGAAAAGCAATGTGACTTTTGGGTAGAATGGGGCCTTCTTTAGCAAAAGGGGTTAACTTAAGAGATAGCAAGAAAAATAGTGACCCCATATAGTTATATAGTTCTGGACTATACAACTTTGTAAGTTATATAAATGTCTAATCACTATGTTGTACACCAGAAACTAATTTAATATTATTCTTTGTCCACTGTGATTGAAAAATAAGAATTATTTATAAAAAAAATACTGACCAGTGACTACATACAATTGAAAATTCTGAATGCCAAAGGCCACAAACACTCCCAAAATGACAGAGAGGAAATGACACCAGGACCACATATCACAAAAGGTAACACACAATATCGACAAGCTCTTACAAAGCAATAAAAAAAAAAGCACAGATAATTCAATGGTGGCGAGAATTCAGCTAAGTGAGCACTTCTGCAAGGCCGTAAGGACGCTCAGCCATAAGGACCCTGCTCATCCTCTATGAGCAGGGAATGAGCAGTAATGAAATAACCCTGACACGGATGCACTTTTGTGCCCTGAGATAGTCTCAACACCTAATGGATTAAAAACGGAGACATTTCTGTCCCTAAATTCAGAGTGCACTCGTTAGGCCACCCGCTGTTCTTCAGAGACCTCCGCCGCCCAGGGCCATGTTTGTTGGGAAAGTTGTCCCTCTTCACTAAGCCTACCCAGGATATGACCCTTCCTCTCGGGGTGTAGACCACAGTCTGCTTCCAATGACAGGTAGACAGAGAAGCGTCTTCTCTCTCCCAGGAAGCAGACTGCTGGAGAGCAGGTTGGGCAGCCACCTGAGTGCGCCCACAGAGTGAGGCACCCCGTGGGGGCCGTGGGGAACACTGCGGACCCCACGGAGAAGCAGAGACACTGCCCACGGCCCACCCCACCATGCCATTACCTTGGAATGGGGTCCCTCCAGTCACCTCTCTTGTTTGCTTTCTTTGCTCTGGAGAATTCGTTCACCCAAATGCTGCCAAACAAACCAAAGCGGATCTGCAGCCACCTCTCTGCACTCCCGGCAGGGCTGTCCCCCCCCAAATACTCCGAGTCATTGTCTCCGCTGTGGACAAGCTCCGGGGACCGGGGTGACTGGTCCAAGATTTTCTGGAAGGCGGGACCCAAGGTCTGCTTGTGGTCCCCAGCCCCTTCCTTCCTCTTTCTTTTTCGTAGAGGTTCTGGCAGTGGGTTGTCGCCAGGACACCTGGTTTCTTCATCTGGGTCAAATCTAAGGAATAGTTTCTTTCCATGGACCTAGAAAAAAATGAACATAATCTAAGCCTGTGTTATAGATGTGTTTGTGTTCCCCCAAAATTCAGGTGTTGAAAACACGACCCACCAAGGTATGGCATCTGGAAGTGCTCCTCTGGACGGTGATGAGGTCATGACCGGGGGTGGGCCTCATGAAGGGGATTGGTGCCCTCATAAAGAAGACCCCAGAGAGCTCCCTGGTCCTTTCCACCATATGAGAACACAGGGACAAGATGACTGACTGTCCTTGAGCCAGGAAGCAGAATCTGCCAGCACCTTGATTTTGAATTTCTAGCCTCCAGAACTGAGAAGTAAGTGTCTGTATTTGTAAGCCACCCAGTCTGTGGTATTCTGTGATGGCAGCACAGACGGACTACACAGACCCAGAAAGGGGAAGACTAGAACAGGTGAATGGGACATTTAGCCCAGTGCAAATCTTTCCACTCTTGCCCCTTCCATGAAGCTTTCCCAAGCTGGGTATTTTGGACTTGACTTTTGCTCTTTGCTCCAGAGGTGTGGGCAGTTAGCAGTTTCAAAGTGATTGGGATCAAGTGGGGATAGGATCAGCAGTGACACAGATCCATTCCGGACAGCAAGGCCACCCTAAAGTACCTGAGGGGAAATGCTCCCAATTTTTTCATGCGTTAGCTAAGAAATGAGTAGAAATTGTCATCCCTGTATTCAAGGATTAATGCGTGTTTTTTTTTTTGTTTTTTTAAGAAACAGCATACACATGCTCCACATAGAGACTGACAGCAGCTAAAGACAGCACACTGTACAACTAGGTGCCACCAAAGGTACATACTAAAGATCATAGTTCTGATGACCTGATCTCCAACTTCTCAGTGAGTACAGAAATTCCCACTGTAGCAGTATGTTGCAACCCTCTCCCCAAAAGAGGGCATTGTCTGCAAATCTTATCTGCAATTCTGAGCACAGCTATTTGTGCCCACATATGAGGAATGGTTCAACTGAGCTACATAAAAAACAGAGCAAGGTGTATGACTGGCATGGCTCCGTGGGCTGGGCATCGTCCAGCAAAGCAAAAGTGTCTTCACTTCCTTTGTCTTCACTTTGGTTGGGGCCCTACAAGCAATCGATGTTGCTCTTGCACATCGATGTTTCTCTCCCTTTGCCTCCCTCCCCGCCCCTCCGAAAATAAATAAAATCTTAAAAAATAAAAAATGCAAAGCAAGGAATTAAATGGGCATAACAGAATTTGCTCCAGAAAATGCTTTCTCAATACAGATTCACCCATGTTGGCAAAATGCTGATGAAAATATTTACCAAATGCCCCTCAGGGTTAAATCATTTACCAGGTGAAAGATGCTTCTGTCGGGATATTCCTGTACCCTCTCCGACTATGGCAATTTCTACTGCCCCTCTTTTCAGTTCCTGGGACACTGCGGCACTTTGAACAGCTGATCATTCACTGAGTTTAAACAACGTGCCAGACATGTGCTAGGCTCTGGGGCGCACCCTGAGGAGTAAATCTCTGCTTCTCCCCTCTAGGAATTCAATATTTAAAAGGAAGAAAATTCTGACATGTGCGACGACAGGGATAAACACTGAAAACATTATGCTCAGTGAAAGAAGCCAGTCACAGAAAAACACACAGACCATGTGCTTGATTTAATGTATGTACAATGCCCAACAAAGTCAGATCTGTAAAAACAGAAAATAGATTAGTGGCTGCTCAGGGCTGGCATGAAATACAGAGTGACTGCAAATGGACACCAGGTTTCTTTTTGGCGTGATGAAAATGTTCTAAGGTTGATCATGGTAATGGCTGCACAAGCTTGTGTGAAGACACTAAAAGCCAATGAATTGCACACTTCAAGGGAGTGAATTGTATGCTATGTGAATTTTATCTCAATAAAGCAAGCTAGGATTTACTGAGCACCTATTATGTACCAAGCATAAAGCCTGTTTCTTTTGCCTTTTAAATATTTTATTTATTTTTAGAGAAAGGGAGGGAGAGAAACATCAATGTGCGGTTGTCTCACACACCCCCTACTAAAGACCTGACCCACAACCCAGGCATGTGCCCTAACTAGGAATCAAACCAGTGACCCTTTGTTTCACAGGCTGGTGCTCAATCCACTGAGCTATACCAGCCAGGGCTAAACTCTGTTTCATACAACCATTTTTACTGCTCAGTGATCTATCCCCATTTACAACTGCAGGAACTGAAGCTAAGATTAAGCAACCTGCTTAGGAACACACAGCTAAGAAGTAACAGACCTCATTAATTTTTTTCTACAGCCATTACTACATGCCTCCTAAGTGCCAGGCACTGAGCTAAGTGGCAGCGATACAATATTGATGAGGACACACCCCCTGCCCGAGTTATCTGTCTCCTCCATGAAGCAGGCAGGAAAATTCAGCTACGAGGGCCCAACGGTCAGAAGCAGAGGGTGCCATGGAAGCGCAGAGGAGAAGGCTCTCCCCAGCCCAGAGCGGGCAAGGCAGGCTTCTCAGACGGTGTGAGGGCAAGGCTAAACCCAGAAGATTAGAATGGTAACATGAGGACACAGGACTGGGGGCAGAGGTGGAAAATAAAGGAAGACTCATTCAAGTAGGGGAGCAGCAAGTCAAAGCCGTGGGCAAGAAGGACTTGTTAGAGGAGCTCCAGAACATTCAATATGATTGGGTAAGAGATTTGGGGCAGGGTAAGCCCTGGGAGTGCCTTGAGGGAATTCTGACTTACACTCAGGGCAAAGGTGAACCAGGTTGAAAACTATACCAAAAGGCTATGCTCTTTCCTTACGTCCTTGCTGGCCTCATGAGATTTAGTGTGGTTCCCAAACAAAAGTACAGTCAGCCGGAGTGATCAGAATCACTCCAGGCTCCATGAATCAGAATCTCCAGTGTTTGTACCTTTTTTTCCCCCATAGTCCCACGGGCCACTGGGATGCCCACTTCTGGCTGAGGAACACCAGAATGACGGAGGAGGAGCTGCGTGGAGTCCTAGCATGGCTGTCTTGGGCTCAAGGAAGTGATGGTGTGGAAAGTGTTGAGATGAATTCCAGGGGAGGCACAGAATGTGCTGATGGAGCCGGCCCACCTGTATGAGGTATGAACAAGGCCACCGGAAGACGAAGAACTCACCTGGGTGTCCTGGAGCCACAGGGACTGGAAACTGGCGGGGTTCAGCTTCTTGCTGCTGCCCCCTGTCTGGACCACCTGCTGCCCCACAAAGGGGCACACCAAATGGTGAAACTTCCTCACAGACGGCCCTTCTGGCATCCCTGCAGGCAGAAATGACGTGGCTGTTTCTCCCTAGCATCTCTGATGGGTGTCAGGCTCCAAGCTTTCAAGCAGCTGGGTTTTTGGGGTTTTGGTTTTTTGGGTTTTTTTTTTTTTTTTGCCAACTTGAACAGTATACATGGCCAAAAGGGGGCATGGTTTGGCAGGAGTGTCAAAGAGACGGACCAGCTGCACCAACTTCCCAAGCACGGGTTCCCTTTCCAGCTGCTCTCACCTTTCTTCACGTGGCAAAAAATCAGGCACCTTCAGTGTGCTACACTTCACCTCAGGGAGCCCTCGACTTGGAGCCTGCGGCAGCTCTGAACAAGAGCAGCCCCTTCTTACTTTTAGCCTGGATGGTGGCCCCTAACTCATCTCCACACTCTCTGTCCTCCTCTGGAAACCAATCCAACCCACTGATGCAGATATATCCACCCCCGCCCTCCTCACCCCCACTGCCGCCACTTTTTAGGAAAGAGATGGTCTTGGTAGAAAAGGCTGAAAGGGACCCAGCCCTCCTAGAATCGCCTCACTAGTAAGGGCGCTGTGTATGTGACAACAGTGCAGAGCTCAGAATCAGGACAAGTGCAGACACAGGGACATGTCCGTTCAGAGCAAGGAGAGGTCACATCCTGCTTAACTACAGATCTTTATCCCTGGTAACTGAGAAACAGCTGGGGTTCCATTTTAGCCTGGATGTAGGGTTATCTCTACATCTCTCCCTGCTCCAAACCACCCAAGTTCACTGAGAGTCTGCCAGACACTCAGGTGTCTGAGTCTGAGTGGTCCGCACTCCCGCTTCTGGGACGCAGGAGTCCCCCTACCCTTACCCAGGGCACACTGCTTAACTACCTGTTTCCTCACCTGCACGAGACTCTCGGTAAGTAATGACAAAAACCCAAAGAACTGAGTAGGTACCTGGTGTGGTGTTAGCTATTCTATTCAAGCAGTTCAAAAGAACATTTTAAAATCTCTGAAATGGGGATGTCTCTTACAATCCACGCCTTCTGATAGTGAGCGGCACACTCAACAATGTGTATTTTAAATTTGAGTGTTTTAGAGTCACCAAAATGTAGCGATATTCCCCTAATCGGACCTTCAAGACATTCCAGAGTCCACAGTGGTAAAACTGCTGGGCTGCAAGAAGACCCGCAGCGGACCTGAACTTCAACCAGCTCCCTGTGATCAAGTCATCTCTAACGAGGAAGCTTCTGAAAAAGCCTCCTTCTGAAATGCATCTAATTCTGAAGGTACCTAGACACAGGGCGTGCTTCTTCTGGGTATATTTATGGAGATGGAAAACTGAGCAGCAAATTGCCTCCACCATAGACTTAAAAGATTAGAGCCTGGGGTGAAAGTGCACGCGGGGGTGGGGGTGGGGGGTGAGAAGTGGGCGCAGAGACAGGGCTGAAGGGCACACTGGTGCAGCCTCCCAGGAGAAAATGGAGGGAGGGAGACCCAGGGGTAAGCATCCCTCCCGGAAAAAAAAAAAAAAAAAGGCCAGGAGTGCGGATTCCGTAGAGGACGCTGGTAAAATTTTCCGTAATTGAGTTTTCCCTCCAATAACAAGGTGACAACAACGAGCGCAGGCAGCGAGCGGTAAAGCCTGGGAAGCTCTGCGTTAGGATGGGGCTGGCGGGGGGGCACTCCGCGCACCTCCGGGGAGGGAGCCCCGCTGCCCTCTCCCGGCCCGAGCGGACCGCGCGGAGGGGCGGGCGGCTGCACTCACCGGCTCCGGGCCCGCAGCCCCTAGGCTACGCCCTCCCGCCGCCTCCGGAGCAGCGAGGACTGGGCGCCTGGCGTCTGCGCGGGGATGTGCCCCCGGGCTGGGCGCTCAGTGCTGTTCTGGGAGCCGGGGGTGGGCTCTAGACCAAGGTAGGAAACGGGGTGTATGGCAAGACCCCTACTCCTGTGTGGGCACGTGACTGTGTTTGGTGGGGGGTGGGGACCTAGAACGGAGTCCCGCCCCCGAGTATGCGCAGACGGCTAGGCTCGCCCCCATCGGCGGGGTGGGCGGAGCTTTGCCATCAGTGGGTGGGCTCAAGGCTCTACTGGGGCGGGGGGCGGGGAGGGTGTGGGTCTCATACCCTCTGGGTTCAGGTGTGCCCTGTGTCAACCAAAGGTGGGGGTAAAGGGCGGCGTAGAAGAAAGGAAGTCAGAGATTGAGATTGTGTGACGGTGAAGAGGCGAAGTGCCTTTGGAACATCTATTGTCTAATGAAGACAGATGGTGGTAGAGAAAAATTGATTAAGTATCTGAATAGAACCTTGGCAAAGGCAAGCCTTTATGTTGATTTTGCTCAGCACCCAAGCCTACTGAGGTCGCTGTGAAAAGAAAAGTTTGTCAAGAAATTTTCATGAAATTCTCATGAAATTTTTAAAGGGTGGAATCTTTATATAACTTGAACATTATTATTTGAACTTTTACCATAAACAAATGTTGCCTCAAAGGTTACATTTGTATATTGAAGTTTTGTTTCAAAGAATAAGAAGATAAAATAGTGGACTATTTAGAAAATAAGTACGTCCCCTTTGTTAGCCCCAAGAGGATGGGGAGCCTGCACAGGAAAGCAGGCGTCCTGCTTGGAGCTAAGAGGGCCCTGGGGAGGGCTCAGCTGGCCTGCGCAGGAAGATAGGCCCAGTCCTTCCTCCCCACCTTCCCCGCTGATTGAGAAGGAGCAGCACCAGAGCCTTCAACTGAAGGGGCTTGGGCAGGAAGTGAAGAGAGGAAGGCTGGAGAGGGTTGGGATACGGAGGGTCCTCAGCACAGAGGAGCCCTGCAGACAGACTGGATGGGGTTTGAGGGCATGGAATTTCCAGGAGGGATCCCCTGAGAGCCTTCTGGTCTCTCCCTCTCTAGGTGGCCTCTTCTGCAGACCAACATCCCTACCACAGAATTGTTACAGGGTGCAGCCACGAGGGGGGACCCCAAATGGGCATTTAAAATGGGGTCCAGAACTCAAGGTGTCCAGGGGATTTTTGGATGTCCTCACTCCCACTCCCCAGGTGTGGGTTGGGGGAAGGGACAAATGGAGCAGGGCCATTGAGAGCTGTTTTGCATAGCAACAGCCTTGCAGCTAACCTCTGGTGTGGTCATTTAACATATCTATAGCCTTTGGCTAGTCGCTTAGATATCTTAAATAGCTGTGGCCATGCTCTGAGCCAGGGGAATGGAAGTAACTTCCCCACCAAGATGTGACTGGGGGCAGGTCCCCCTAGCTACAGCGCCTGCATGGGAGCTTGGAGAAGATTGGCCCCAGGACTTGGGGCCACACCTGCCCAGACTCATGAAGGCAGTCCAGTAAAGCTGGAAGGATATGAGTTCTGGCATGTGAAGCCGAGTATGGGAGGAGTCGGAAATGGGGCTGCAGAGGAAGATTGGCGCGGGGATTTAAACCCAGAGGCGGCAGCCCTGAGAGAGAGAACCAAGACTCCAGCAGCCCTGAGAGGGAGAACCACGCGGCTGTGGAAGTGCAGAGAAGATCACAGCTATTGAGGGGAGAGAAGCATACAGCTTTAGCAGAGTGAAGACTCCTGCGGCCCTGAGGGAGAGAACCATGTGGCTCTGGCAGAGTGGGGACTCCCGTGGCCCGGGGAGACAGGACCACATGCCTTTGCCAGAGTGGGGACCCCCGCAGCTTTAGGAGATATGGTACTCTGGACTGGGCAAAGGGGGAAGGAAGGAAGGACTGTGTCTGTTTGTGGATGTTTTAAGGGACTTTGGGATTTTGGTGAAGACATTAGGTCACTACTTTAAGTCTGTATAGCATTAAATAAACATTTCCTTTCCTTTTCACAAATCTCTGGCATTGAGAGACATCTTTCCTCTGGCGGTGGACATAATGGACCTGGGGGCTTCTTTCAGTAATAGTATATCGTCCCAGGCCCCCCTTGTTTGTTCTGTAACAGACTGGCCCCTGCTTTAGGATCAGGCATACCCCAACTGTAGCTTCTGGAGCCTCCAATCTCCCACTTTGTAGACTTGGGCTGAGCTGGGAAGGAAGCCACAGTCACGAGCCTTGCTTCACCTCTTGCATGGTGCCTAAGAGGCCTCAGCAAAGGGCTACAGAGTTGAGAAAAGCAGTGGTTCATAGTTTGAGTATGTCATTCATAATAACAGATGTTGTCTGTTGAGCACATATTATGTGCAAGGTGCTCTTCCAAGCTCTTAATGTACATTGCTTCATTATCGAGGGAAGACAAGTAAGTTACAACATCTCAATCTATCCATGTATTAAAGTGAGGTATTTTTTCATGGTGTTTTTATGGAAACATTAGAAAGCAGGGCTTCTCAAACTGTGATGTGCATATGAGCTAGCCAGGAATCTTGTTTGAATGCTGATTCTGACTCAGGTGTGTAGCAAGGCCCCACATTCCCAACAAGCTGCCAGCTGCTGCTGCTGGCCCAGGGACCTCGCTTGGCACAGAAGGACTTAGAGCACAACACTTTGCAGTTGGTACGTCCTCAGTAAATATTCTTAAATGAATGATTAAATGAGATTATTGGATGCAAAACATTCATAAACAGGAAAGTACTGTGCAAATGTATGTTGTCATTCTGGGACAGTGAGGCTGGGAAATGTGCCTGGAAAAGGGCAAACTCCTGGGAGGGTCGTTGGAGCAGCACTTTAGAACACTGTTTCTGCATCTGCCTGGGTCCAAATCCCGCCACTCTGTGGGCAGAGTTTGGGCAAGTAATTTAACCTTTATGTATCTCAGTTTCTTCCTGTGTAACATGGAGTGAAATGCCTCACTGGGCTACTGAGGGATTTACTGAGATTGTAAATCAGTCTCTGAGCACCGGGCCTGGCAAAGGGTAATAGCTCAATACGTTTTAGTTATAATTATCATTTGCCTCCTGGATTTGGGGCAGTCCCAAAGCCCGCAGGAGCCTGGGCCTCAGCACCGTGGAGGTCAGTGGCAGCTTTCTAAGGGTCGTGGAGCCAATTCCTCTCTCTTCTTTTATGCCCCAGGTTTCTCCAACAGGGTTAAAGTTATAATGCACATGAAAACTGGTTAAAATACAGCCACCTCCCAGACAGAAAGAAAGGAAGTAAAGGAGAAAAGCAGTGGAATCCTGAGAGGAATCATATTGCCAAGGAAAGAGTTTGGGGATTCTGAACCACATCAAGAAGGGTCCAGATGTTTCTAGAGGCCCCTGGGGGGCACCGAGGGCAGAGAGTGGGGCTCCTGGGCCTATTCCAGGTGGCCTTCTTTGGGGCATGTGACCGTGGACAGTAAACTCCATTCCCCCGCAGTTCTAGGTCCTTCTTTTACTGTGCCTAAATTGGAGGAGTTGGAGAATTTGGAACCAAGGATCTTCCTAACTTCTAGAAAGATGTTGAAAGGCTGTGCAGGGTTTCCAGCTCTGAGGCATCTACTCTTTCGGGGAGGTGGGGGATGTGTGCGTAAAAGCTCCAGTTCTGGAATCAAATAGATGCGGTTTGAATCCTGATTCTGTACAAACTAGTTTTGTGACCTTCAGCAGATGACTTAGAAGCTTGGGCCAGTATTTTCTTCGTGTGCAAAACATGATCATAAGGAAATATGTTTTATGTGCTTATATAGAGCTACTAGCAGTGTTGCTGTGCAGTGGTGCTCCATAAGCAGTAGGTACTTCTTTTTAGCAAAATTTCTGGACTGATGTGAGCTTGAAAATGTGGCTGGTAGATTCTGAAGGACACAAGGGAGAGTAGGTGGACACAGGCGCCCCCACGTGGTGAGTGTAGTACCTTGATTCCAATCTCAGAGCCTCCCTAGTGAGGGTAGGTGCTCAGTAAGTGCAGCCCTTCCTCAGCCAGCTCTGTGGCCTTGGGCCGGGGAACAAGAGGGTTTGGAGTAGATTATCTCTGGGACCCCTCTTGATCTGTAAATGTGTCAGGTACTCAATTCAGGCAACCATTTCCCCAGTGGGTGTGGTGTAGTTATCTTTCTGTTCCATTTGACACTCCCAGGCCAGTTACTGGAAACCTTACTTAGCAAGACTGACTTCCCCAAATCCTTGGACTCTTGTAAAGAGGGGACTACCGGGAATTCGTCAGCTTTGCCTCTGTGTAAACAGCTGGATTTTAGATTGCAGGACCTCCCAGGAGCCTAGAACAGCTCCAGGGGCCTTGACGGCTGCCCAGGGACTGTTGTATGGATCGACTTCACAGCTAAACGGAAAGATTCACTCCGTGCCTAATTTTTCCCATTGAATGCCAGGACACCCTAGACAGAGCTGAACAGCCTTGCAGCACTGGACCAACCAGAGCCTGGGAGTAGGAGTTCTTAACCCCAGGCATATGGAGAACTTTCCGGAGTTCCAGTGGCGCGCAAAATCTCAGGCTATGTACACCTTTCTGGAAAAGTGGACACAGCTTTTGTTACATTTTTAGAGAGGTCTGTGACCTCAAAAGTTTTAAAGAAAACACTGCCCAGAATTACAGAAATGACCTACTCCGAGCATTCTGAATGCAGCAGGAAGCCTTGGGAGCATGTGCCAGCCCCATAAGCTGCAGTCCCTCTCAAACCTCCACACAGCTGGGGCGTGAGGGAAGATGCCCAGGTCGTTTGATGGATTTAAGAGAACACACCTGAACTAAAGCATAACATGGCATCCCCTTCTGTGTGGGAGCCAGAGAAGACCTGAAAATGTTTTCCATCACTTCTGCTTCCTTCGCTGGAATCAGCTTTCAGAGACTAGAGACCATTCTTTGGCAGCTCTTCACTGATGAAACATTTCTATACTTTGAAGGGGCATTTAGAATTAAGACCAGTGACAAAAAGTGAGCAAGTGATATAATTCTATCTGGGGCCCCAAACTAAATGTGGCTAAGAAGCAGTCAACCAACCTGGTTCTCTTAGGCTGATGTGAGCGGGTCCTGGAGAGTGTGCGCAGGGAGTCTCGCCTGTCTGGGCAATGGGTGCCATATTGGCGTGGG